CTCCCCCTGCTTGTGTTCCTTCTCTCACTTTGTCTCTGTCAAATAAATAAATAAAATCTTTAAAAAAAAAAAAAAGAAATGCTTCTGCAAACACATCTGTTTCCATCTCTCTTCTAGTCACCGCTTGCTTTCTTAAGAGAGATCTGTGCACTGTGTTCGATTCCTCATTCCTCCTTCCTGGTCACCATGGTCTGCATCCCCATTATGCCTCTTCATGTTTGAACCATGATCCCCAAACGCGTCCTTACTGCTAAACATTGCTAAATGGCAATGACCATTTCCAGTCATTTATGCCCTTGATCAAGCAGCAGCATCTGGCACTGGTGCTCCCCTTGGGGGCTTCTCTGACCCCACCAACCCCTAATTTACCTCTGTTGTCACTCACCCTGATGTCATTGGAAAGGTCCTCTCTCTCTGCCCTGCCTCCACCCCTTAAATGCGGGTGTTCCACATTGTGCTGACCTTGACTCGCATATATTGTCACCATGCACTCTGTCTCAGTATGGCCTCCTCCTGCCTTGACCTTGATTGCCATGAGTTCCAGTTTTATGTCCATGGGCCAGAGCCTTCTCCTGAGCTACAGACCGTAAAGGACATATCACAGTGATGTCCCCAAGAACCTCAAAGTCAACACATTCAAAACCAAACTCATTGTCTCCATCCTCCTACCCCTTTGTCCACCACTCTACCTATTAGTCCTACCTCCATAAACTGCTACCCACCCAGAACCAGAAACCTGGGCCTCACCCTCAATATCTCCTACATCTCACCCTGCCATGACCAACCTCTCATGGATTCTGAGTGTCAAACACACATCTGTCCAACCCCTCTCACCATCCCACCTATACCCATCCTACTAAGCCCACCATGTCTCCCTTACCTGGGTAACTGGTGCAGCCTCCTAACAGAGCTCCCTGCGTCCAGCCTTCCTCCCTTACGGGTTGATCTTAGCATGGTAGGCCAAACTAACTCCCTAAAATTCAAATGTGGCCATGCCACCCCCTTCCTCAAAACTTTTCAATGGACCTTAGGCTATTGCTTGTCACTTTGGGTGATCTGGATCACCTCTCCTACCTCACCTGTCACCATATTCCCCTCACCCTCTGAGCCCCGTCCATCTGGAGCTTCTTTTGTTTCTTCAAATGTGCCATTCTCTCTTCTGCCTCTGGGTTTTTGTAGATGCTGTTCCCCTTTGCCTGCAACACTCGCAGCTCTGCTTCTCAAGGACTTTCCTTGATATCAGAGACCAGGAGAGATGCTCTCCTGACTTGACTTCTCCATAGCATCCTCTCCTTCCCCCTCATGGTATGTATCTTATTATTGTTTACCTGTCTCATTCAGGCTGGACCATGAGCAATGTGAGGAAAAGGACTGTGACTAACTCATTGGTTGCTGAGTCCCTTGGGTCTAGCACTGTGTCTGACACACAGCCGGCACTCAACTTTCTGTTAAATAAAGAAAACAATAGTACGGAATGACTTTGGAAATTTCACTTTCTTTCTAGGTGAGTGGACAGAAAAAAGAACCAAAGACGGTTAGCTGACAGAAAAATAGGAAGATGCAACCAAGAGAAGATGTAAGTATGAAGAAACAGCTAGGCTTGGAGTTCTGGCTTAGAATTGGAAAGTTTCCAACAGTGTCAGAGAATTTGCAGGAAGTTTGGGCTGAAAAGGCCATCGGCTGTCAGCGCTGCTCAATCCCTCACTTCACAGATGAGGAAATGGACATGTAACTTGTCTTCATCTGCAGTGGAACTAATCGAGAACAAACTCTTTGGTGCTAGGCGGTGGTTATATGCCATGAAGCCACACGGCTTCTCAGGATTTCATGGCTCCTCCTACAGCTGTGGCTAGCATACCGGCTCCAGTTCCAGACGGGAAGTTGGCCGGGACACAAAGCAGCCACATCAGCGCTGTGGTTCCCACAGCCTCCGCCACTGACTGCATCTCATTTCCTTCCGCAGACCTGCCCCGAAACCCGAGTACCTAGGAGACTGCTCTACTCTGAAGAAGGCTTCATGCAGCCCAGGTAAAATAAATTAAACCCTCTCCCAATTTTCTGTCATCCTTTGCCATAATGACAACTTGCTCGTCTATCAGACTTGGGAGTCTCCCGTCTTTTTGTGCCAGAGGCTAACACCAATCGTTCCTCCCCTAATCTAGTGCTGCTGCTAGATTAAAAAAAAAAAATGTTCTTTCCCGGTGCCTGTTTGTCATTATCAGATAGTTCTTCCGCAAAATGGCCATGTGCACACATTTCTTTCCTAGGCACTATTCAAAGCACATAGGGCAAGTAGTCAGTGCTGCTCTAGGAACAGAAACTCTGGAACTCACATGAAAATGAGCCTACTAGAAGCCAGATTCACACAAGGGGAGGTCTGCTCAGGCCGGAACCAGAACTGGGAGATTTTGGTTGACCTTCCCAGTAGACACTAAGTTCTGGAGGGTCAATAAGGAAAGGAAGAGAGAGCCTGAAGTTACTTTTCGAGTGAGAGATGAAGTCAGTTATTTCTAACTCTTAGAAGTGACAGAGAGGGGAGACTTTGCCCCGAAGGCAATATCCTTCTGTGGGGGTGGTCTGGATGAAACAAGAGATGGCAGACAGAGGGGCTAGGAGGTGCTTTCACAAAAGGATGGAGAACTCAGACCCTGACTTAAGACTCCACCTCCTGTACCAGGAGTGTAGCAGGTGGAAGAGCAGAGAGAAGCACATGCCCTGAGTCATCCATCTATGGGGGCCCAGACAGGCTGCTCATCTGCAAATGGGAGGGAAGTCACAAAGCCATCACCTTGCTCATGGCTGTCTGCTGCCCACTGTGAGCTGGCGTAGAGCAGAGGCCAGCAAACTATAGTCAGTCTAAAGCATTTACTTTCTGGCCCTTTACAGAAAGAGTCTACTGACCCTGGCATAGAAGACCTGGCCTTGTAGATGTCTCAGAAAGTATTGCACTGAGAGTATTTCCACTGACGGAATGGACTTCATGGCCCCGGGTGCAAGTTCCCAAAAGGCCCAGGAGGGTCCAGGCCCTCCTCTCTGAGGTTGCAGGGGCAGACCCTTGTATGGGAATCTACGTCCCAGCATTGCCTCATGGGAACTCGGGGGCATTCTAGTGTTCACAATTGGCCTTACAAGTACTCTTTATATTCAGGGCGTGGTTTTTTTAAATTAAACAGTATTTTTCAGCTGAAAGACTAATACGTACATGTGATTTTTTAAAAGAAGTTATGCAATGAGAAGAGCCTTCCTTCCACCCTAGACTCCCATTTCAAATTAACTGCTCTTGAGAGTTTCCCATGTATCCTTGTGTGTGTGTGTGTGTGTGTGTGTGTGTGTGTGTATCCTTTTTCTTTATACAAATGGAGGCTCTTGATGTCTTGCTTTTTTTTTTTAACTTAGTAATATAATGAGAAGTTCTTTCCACATCAGCAAATACAAATCTGGCTCCTTTTTAATATCAGCATTGTATTCCTTTGATGGAATTTAATGCATTTGAATGAACTACTCCCTTATTAAAAAAAGTTGTCTCCTGGGGCGCCTGGGTGGCTCAGTCAGTTGAGTGTCTGACTCCTGATTTCAGCTCAGCTCTTGATCTCGAGGACATATGTTTGAGCCCCACGTTGGGCTCAATGCTGGGTGTGGAGCCTACTTAAAAAGAAAAGTTGTTTCCAATGTTTGTTTATTGCAAACAGTTCTAAATTTGTAATTCTTATACTAACTCCTTTGTACAATGAGTTAATGTAACTGGAACATGAATTCCTAGCTGTGGAATTGCCAAGGTGAAGGGCAAGTGAGTTTTAGATTTTTATACGTACTGACAAATAGCCCCCCAGAAAAGTTGCACCAATTCATGTTCTCATCAACAATAAATAGATCTTTTCCCCTAACATCTTCCTTAACATTAAGCCTATCATTACCAATTTGGTAGGTGAAAATGATATTCCACTGTACATCATTGAATACCATTGTATAAACTGTCATCTTTTATATTTATTTTTATTGGATCTGCCAGTTCATGCTTTTGTTCATTGAGATGTTAGAAGTTTCTCTTTTTAACACCTCCCACACCTCATTACACACACACTCCAGAATATAGGGACTTTATCTGTCTCATTTGCCCACTGTGTATCACCAGAGCAAAGCCTTGAACTATACCTGACATATAGTAGACAGTTAATAAGTATTTGTTAAACAACTTAAAAAATCATTACATACTAAGACAGGACCTTTACTTGTCACTATGTGTTGCAAATTTTTTTTTCACTGTCATATTTCCTTGGTTTTGTTATTTATTTTTTTTGCAATGCAAAAGGGTCATGCAACCTTTCCAAGATTAAGCATATTATTCTTCAATTCATTTAAAATACATTTTGCCATAAGGTATGTAGAAGGACTCCAACTTAAATTTTCCTGCCTTGGTGTGTTTTTAAAGACACTTAAATGGGCCTCTTCTGCATGCTGGTTGATCCATTAAACTTCACTGTAAGCACACCATGCTTTTACGTCAAGGCTCTGGTTCACATTCCTGAGAAGCAGTCTTAACATTGCAGGCTCTTATACTTGGACACAAACAAATTCATAACCTAGTCCTATAGTAGGTTTTGCTACAATGGAATGATGGGACATTGTGATCAATCTGGAATACTGGTTGGTGTAGAGAGAGAAGATTGGTGTAGAGAGCCAAAGGAGCAGGGAGAGAACATTGACAATTCCAAGGATGACTTTGCTTGTTTCACAATAATTCTGGCACTGGCTTGATTAGGATATGTTACTTTTAAGGTACATGCAATTTTATTTTGGATTTAGCTCTTGTAACACACAGATATCAATCCTGAGCCTCCTTGCCCCTTGAGATCTAGGGGGGATTGGGCAGTGTGAAGCCCACTCAAACATTTTCAAGAATTCCTGGAAGTATTAAGTTCTGCTTCCTCAACCTATTCTGCTCCAGCTTATGCACCATTTTCTGTGGGATGCCTCACATGAACCCTAGTGGAAACACAGATCCTTCTTCATTGTCACTGCCCAATCACCAACAGAAATCCTCACGCCAAATCTTTGTGCATTTAGTGGAGTTTACTGAAGACATTTTGGGTAAAACTTCCTACCATCATGGCGGCACCATCCTTCTTCCCACCCTAACTCTCTGTCTCTGCTTGTCATCCTCCTCACGGGATTGGCTTAGGAGCTTGCAGTTTTTCTCCATCTGTTAAGACAAGTAGCACACCCCCAACTGCTGAAATTTTATCTAGCAGAAAAAGATTTTCATTCAACACAAAATTTAACACAGAACAACCTTTAGTACAGAATTTTTCCAACAAAGAGTTTTGTCCCCAAACAGAAACCTGGTGCTGAAACAAACTGTTAAGATCATAAAATATTCTCTACCTGTTGCATTTATGTGACATTTTAACAGGCCCACTACTTTCTCCCATCACATTCCAATTACCATCACACATAACCATCCACATGCACCCATATGAGAGTTGAGTGAATCAAAATGATTAATAGTCTTTGGGGCATGGCTGTTTTTTCTAGTTTATTGTAGTGCAGGAGATTAGACAGATGAGGTCTAGAACCACTCACCTAATGGAGCAGACACTTAGTGGGCTTAGTGGTCCCTTGATGATTTAAGGTCCTAGGAGAAAGTCCAGACTGGTAGAAAAAGGCTACAGATAGTAGGGGGATAGTTTAATACTTCCTCTGACACTGGGGCAGTCTTCATAGACTCAGCCACACAGAGTCCAGACAGGTGGACGGGGCCGATGACAGTGAACCCGGCAGCTAATCACACAAGGGTGGATTCACCTGGTGCCCTCAATTGTGGGTACTTGTATATCTACACTGCCAGTTGGGGAGCACCAGTGAAATCCGATGACAGGGAGCAGACCCTTGTTGTATTCCAATAGGCAGAACTGTTGACCCTGAAAACAGGGGAAAGGAGTCTGAAAAAATGAATAGGGTGTGTAGTAGTCTCCTAAAACTGAAAATGGAAAAAAAAAAACAACTGAAAAACCTAAGGGAAGCTAAACTTAATCATGAAATCTCTGGAAGAGGGATCAGCAGATTTTGGCCCCTGGGCCAATCCAACCCACCACCTAATTTGTAAATAAAGTTATACTGAAACACAGTCATAACCATTCATTTACATTCTATTTAGGTCTGCTTTTTTGCTCTAACATCAGTAGTTGAAACAGAAATCATATGGCCTGTGAAGCCTAAAATGTTTACTATATTTACTTCACAGAAGAAAGTTTGCCTACCCCTGCTTTAGAATGTGAGCTCCTGAGAGCACAGAGTTTTGTTCATCTTGTCTACCTCTCTATTTCCAGCATCTACAAAAATGCCTGGCACACATTTGCAACGACGTGGATGGAACTGGAGGGTATTATGTTGAGTGAAATAAGTCAAAAAGAGAAAGACATGTATCATATGATTTCACTGATATGAGGAATTCTTAATTGCAGGAAACAAACTGAGGGTTGCTGGAGTGGGGGGTGGGGTGGGAGGGATGGGGTGACCGGGTGATAGACACTGGGGAGGGTATGTGCTCTGGTAAGCGCTGTGAATTGTGCAAGACTGTTGAATCTCAGATCTGTACCTCTGAAACAAATAATGCAATATATGTTAAGAAAAAAAAGAAGAAGAAGAAGGTAGCGGGAGGGGAAGAATGAAGCGGGGGAAATTGGAGGGGTAGACGAACCATGAGAGACGATGGGCTCTGAAAAACAAACAGGGTTCTAGAGGGAAGGGGGGTGGGAGGATGGGTTAGCCTGGTGGTGAGTATTGAGGAGGGCACATTCTGCATGGAGCACTGGGTGTTATGCACAAACAATGAATCATGGAACACTTCATCTAAAACTAATGATGTAATGTATGGGGATTAACATAAGAATAAAAAAAAAATGCCTGGCACATATTAGGTACTCAGTCAGTATTTGGTAATTGAATGAATAAGCGAATAAACAAATGAAGCCCTGAATGTCAGGAATCTCATACTTTCCGAGCTCCTTTCTCCAAAGAGCAGGACTGGT